GTAAGGAAATTCAATCTCAAAACCACTGGCATTATTTGTGATAATTTTATTTTACTTGACATTAATTACAGTTTCTTTTTTTAAAAAAATGGTGTATAATTGTGTGATTTACTTTTATGTAACGTTGCTTAATGCTCTTGGATAAATACAGGGTTTTCCCCCTCTATTTATTAAATGTTATTGTATGGAGTTTGATCTAACAAAAAAAGTGCCTAAAAAAAAGAGGAGGCAATGTTTGTGTATTATTCCTATTAAATCCATTTGAGTAAATTGATGAAACAGACAAGATGGAGAATTTTGGTGTGTTCTCTTTTTGGAAGGTTTTTTTCCCCTCACTTTTTTTTCTGCCTTAAATCTCACTTATGTCTGTGTGGCAGCTGTTGCTTCTTTTAAGGAAGCAAGTTTTTGAACTCAGGTTTCTGTTGCTTATCAGCACTGTATATTAAAGACATTTACTTCACACCTCTGAAACCATTTACATATTGAAAAATGTAGATGTTTTGCAAAAGTGTTTTTTTAAAAAAACATTTTAAAATAATAAGATTAATTTAAAATTACTGATTAGTTTTTCAATAATTGCTAAATTTCCACATGCTTAAGGATTACAAATGGCGAGACTAACAATAGCAACTGCCAAATTTGAGGTGAAATACATGTTTGAAGGGAGAGTTTGGGTTATGAGGTAAAGTAAGAAAAATTACAAACTTTTGGGTGATGCATTTGTCTAACACAGATTTTTTTTTTTACTGCTCCTACAAATTCTTAGAAAGCTCTCCTTTCTGAAGCTTCTCAACAACATGAAAACGACCAACATTGCATCACTGAAAGGAATAAACATATTTTGTGAAATGTCCTGAAGGCAGGTTTCTTGTTACTAGCTGTCAAACGCAAAAAAAGAAAAATCATTAAGGCTGCAGTACAGAGGCAAAGAAAGAGGCAGCCACGAGGGTCATGTTCTAAACAAACCTTCATTAAGCACTCTTTGTTACTGTTGTTAGCCAGTGTATTATTAAATACAACGTTAATTAAAGAGTTGCATGTTACGAGGGTGCTTTTTGCATGAAGATCAGATTGAATTTTCTTGTGCTTCGTGAATATACTGCTGTCTTACTTAATCTTTTGGGTGTATTCTCTCAGTAGAAAAAGCAGACCTCGACAACATAAAATTTGTATTTTGTGTATATATGTATTTATTGTTTGTATGTATCAGCAAGATGCATATTCTAGTGCCACTTTCCTCAAGTAGCTTAAAAAACTTTGCCTAGAATTAAAATGATGTAGGAATTACTTGGCTTTCTATGCTGCAGTAGTTGCAATTAGAGACCTCTTCTTACTGTCTAATAAAAGAATGTGAATTTCAACTTAGAAGGGTGTAAATTTAGGCAAAACAATAATTTAACTTACATTAACTCAGCAGGAAGCAGGGTACAAACCGATTGTTGCTCTATGGCAGATCCACTGCTTTTTTAAATACTGCAGCTCCATTTTATTAAATTGTCAGGATGTCTTGTGGTTTGGTTAGCCTGCCTGGACTTCTCCTCTCTCATAGAATAACTTTTCACTTGATTTAAGAAATTTCACATGAGAATTTCCTCTAGGTTGCTTATGTTGAGATATTTAATAAACATACATTCCAAATATTTTAAAAGTGATTTAATATTGGTAATACTGGGAAATACACTTTTTTTAAATGCAGGGCTGCTAAGTTAGAAGACGTGGAAGTGTTTTTTCTTTTCAAATACTCTGCTTTGCTTTAGCATTTTTTGTATGGAGAATTTCTTTCAAGACAAATCAGCAAGCACGTGTATTAAGAAGTATGGACTTAAATGTCTTTCTATCTTTAGGCAGATTACGTACAAGGAATGCAGTTATAAGAGAGCACCTAGAGAGCATCTTGAGAGCCCTTAACCCACTTGAACAGCTAAATGAACTGTTCACTGATACCACTGTTTAGTCTTCAAAAGTGTTCACCCCTTTGTTAGTTAAATTACAAAATAAATATAGGGCAGATGATAAATATTCACATATAGGCCTTGGAGAGGAATTGGAACACTGGTATTTTCAAGACAAAACCAAGGTTTGTGTGTTCTTATAGATGTTTTGAAAAAGTAGTCTGACCATGATTCATGTTGAGAAACCACTTGGGAGAAACATTCCTCAAAGAAATATGTCTGTGAAAGAAATATATGGATTCTTATGAAGCCATAGTGTTTTCCAATTGCTTTTAAATTTCTTTTTCTGTTTCTGGCTGTGGTCTGTAGAGTGAAGACAGAGGTACAGCTGTGCTCATAGGTAAACTGGTATTTATCTGTCCTGTGATTAGCTTTTATCCAGAGTTGGTAACTTTCTTCAGACGAGCTTGAAAGTGCTATTCTGGTCTTCTAATGGTTCTTCTCTAGAAGAAGGTGGATAACTCAGTAGGTAATTAAAACTCTGTCCAGTTTTCTCATTAAGAGAATCTGTGTTTGGCTGCTCCTGGGTACCCAAAGCGGTGAAGAGGCAGTAAGGATTGGAGGAGTGTGTGCTGGGTCTGTAAGGCCACCTGCTAGAATGGTCTCCTTTTCCAGCAGGTTTCACTCTGGAGAGTGTCTGTAAGCAAACAAAGGCTGCCCTTCTTTCCTGAGTGACTATTAAGTGTACTTACTCTCTCAGCCCTGATCCTTAGAGCAAAGTCTGCTTACCTCCCTCTCCAGTTTATTCCTTGCAGAAAGGAGGGACTCTCTTTGAAACCTGAGCCCTTGGATGCCTGACCTGCTTTAGGCATGTTGAGATTGTCTCCATGCTGTCCTTAAATTCTTCAGCAGGTTTAGGTGCCTGCCTTCTAGGTAAGGCTGAGACCTGGATAGATTGCAAACCCAGTAACAGGCACTCTCTCTCCTTTACTCTTACAATGAAATGAGATGGTTTATTAGAAAAATACAGAAGATTCTCTTTTTCATTTCTTTGAGAAAGCAACTAAGATGTTAATATTTTTGAAACTTATATTGGATGATCTGATACATAAGGTTTTGTTTTAGCTTCAAATATTGAGTCCATGCAGATTTCAGAAAATTTGTTGCAGGGCAGATTTTAAATGTTTTTAAAATATAACTCATACCTTTACTTAGGCCTATAGTTATTTCATGTTCAAGTATACAGCAAACCAAATTTATTGCTTTTCATGTAATGCTGATATAGTTTTTCATTGGTTTTGGTATTAAAGTTGCATGTTTGTTTTCCCAAGCTGCACTTGGGTTTCTTCTTCAGCTTACAAAGTGTCTTGTACCTGCTTGTTTTGGTTTGGTTTTTCTTGCATGCTTTCATGTTAACTGGGATTTCTTGCTGTGAAATGAATTTAGACTGGCACTATCTGTAGGGATGTACCCAGCCTAGAACCAGAGGCCTGAGATACAGCTCTGCATCAATAGAAATGTAACTAATGCCATATCTACTCTATTTGTTTAGTCGTCAGATTAAGTCACACTTGGACTTTTTCAGTTCTTTCTACCTATGTGAAAATGTCTGTATAGCAAAGTCAAGTAAGTACCCTGCTATCTAGAAGCAGGACTAAATAGGAAGAGTTTTGCTACATAAGCCAGCCTGAATAGCCCAGTGTTCTCTTCTTTTCTCTTCTCCATCTTGTATTCCCTACTCGCCTTCTGTGCTTAAATACATGAAAATTGGACATGTTAGTGGCTGCAGTTGGATTTAAGTCATGGGTATTGCCAAAATCCTTACAAGCTGTGCTTAAGTCCATCAAGGCCATATCAGCAATTCCCATGTTGGACTTCAGTGACAATTAGTTGATTGCTGTGATGGAAAGGTGAAGGTGCAGTTAATGAATTTTTAGCTTACCCTTTAGTAAAGTAACCTCCACGTTAGATGGATGTAAATTGCTTCCTGCCATTTGAATAGCCTAAAAGCTGTGTAGCTGTAGCTAACAAGGTGCTGAGGTGGTAAAAGGGCACTGCCAGGCTGGGGCTTAACCCAGCAGCAGTGCAGCCCCTGGGATGGTTCATTCTGAGCATCTTACAAATGGTGAGAAGTCCTAGGTTCCTTGTTGGAAATTCTGTGTTGTTAATACACTTTTTTTTCCTGAAAATGTTCACTTGTATAATAATGAAACAGTGACTTTAAATAAAGTTTTAGTAATAGTCATTATTTGCTCTGCAGAATTTATGGAAATCAAAGATGAGGGGAGTTGGGCAAAGCTGAACTAACCTGTACTGAACTGAGTAATTGCACTCTAAAAATGAAATTGTTGCTGAATTCTGGTGTTGCATTGTAAAGTGTAATAGTATTAAGGAAATTTTTCACCCTTGATAGCAAATAAGTGGCATTAATTAAGGAGTTGTGTGTTCTGTATGTTTCTGATCCTAAATTCCTCATAGATTCAGAATACAGAATCTTTTGCTCAGGTTGGAGTAGGGGAAAGGTGGCATGGCAGGTTTATTGATGGACTTATTTCTTAGAAGGTAATTGGCTTCTACTTTTTCTTGTTGATTTCTTTTGCTTTCAGTTATAGTTTTAAAGTACATTTTGTGTAGGTTTTTCCATTACCCCAATTTCCTTGTATTTGCTTAGTGTATGTTTTGAGAAAATTAATGACTTTTGGTTTGGCTCAGCAGGGTAAGTGTTCTACCTTGTAGCAGTTTAGATTTCATTTGGTTGTTAAAAAGTCAAGATGTAGAGTTGTTTCTTTTCCCTGAAAAAAAAAATACTTATGGTGTAAGCATGCAGGATATTTCAAAAGTATAATCTGATAAAATTCAGAATTATACAATATTAATATACCATACTTACAGCTTCTTGTTCCAGAGGCATTGTTGTACAGTCCAGGCGTACCACTACAATTCAGGTTTCCCTTCTTTTGGACAGAGTTAAGGCTTTGTAAATTGAAAACATCTGAAAAGATTTTGGTATATTTAATGTTTGATACTGATAATATGATATGCTTTTTAATATTCAAGTTTGAGGTTTTTTCTGCAGTGTTAATGAACTTTTTTTTTCTTCTCCTTTAGGAGAATATATAAAAAACTGGCGGCCAAGATACTTCCTGCTAAAGACAGATGGCTCTTTCATAGGCTATAAGGAGAAGCCCCAGGATGTGGATCTGCCATATCCACTCAACAACTTTTCAGTGGCAAGTATGTATTTCCAGTATTTATTATTCTCTCAGCATATTGACAGATTATCTGCTACATATTGCTTCGTGTATAATTCAGAATTTATTGGTAACACTGCAAGTTTAATGCCATGTGCCATACTAATGCACCACTAATCTTGCATCCAGCTCTACAAGATGTATTTACAGTAGCATGGAAGAACCATGCATTGGTTTTTGACTGTTTTTTGGAAGGCTAAGTTCTCATTTTTTGTGTGTGTGCTTGAAGTGTCTCTAAATAACAATGACATTTGACAAGTGATTGCTGTAAGAAGAAAATTCCTGGAAAGTTTACCTTTATTTAGATCACTGACCTCTTCTTGTTTTTCATTAGTATCTCTGAATTCACTCGAAAACTCAAATTAATTAGAAAATTATCTAGACTTTCAAATGACACAAAATCATGCTAAGTTATTTTTCTCTTGGATAATCAGGTAATCAGCTCTCCAGCCTGGTTAATGAGTAATTTCAAGCAATCAGACAATTTGCATATATTAACAAAGCTATAAAGTGTGTATGTTGGATAAAGTGAAGATTGTGTGTTTACGAAGAATGTTTCTAAAAGACAAATTTGTAGGGTTTTTCATCTGTCAGAGTGAGATTGGTGAGCGTTTCTGAACAGAAATGAAAGTATTTGAGGAGAAAATTAAGGGGCAAAAAAAATCTGAGTTGCAAATGTCACAACTAGAAACTTTCAGAAGGAAACTAGAGAGTTTACCCAATTTCTTTTAAAATTGTATTAAGTGTACTACAATACAAAAAGTGGCAGTGTTTAGTTTTAGAGAAGTATAGGAACCACCACAAGAATATTTGTACTTAGGGAAAGGGTTCCCTTCATCTTCACTGCAGAAGATGAAACAAATGCTACTGAGACTGAATTTTCTTATTTTCTTGGTAAAATTGTACTTGAGACTGAGTCAACCTTTGTGTATACAAAGTAATTTGTATATTTTATTTGGTGAGAAAATAATCTCGTGCTCCAAGCCCATGTCTCATCTCTCATCTATAACAGGAAAACTTTGTGTATTCTGATTGCAATAGAAAATTATATTGATTGTGCAAATCTTCTACGAGTATTAGAGGCTCATTTTGCCTTGCTAGTATTCAGCATAAAAGGAGTGATGTCTTTAAGCTGTTCATATGAGTAAGAATTGACTAAATCATAGGCTATTATTCATTCCTTAGTTACTGCTCTATATATTCTAACTACTCCTTTTTAGCAGGTAGTATTTTTCTAGGTACTTTTTCCCCAGTTCGAAGCAGAAAGACAATTTCTAGAAACACAGTAGGTTATTTTGTCCTGCCTTACCATGTTCTTCATTGCATATTCTGTCTTTCCTTGCTGCAGCAACTAGAAGGCTGATCCAAATGGTAGTTCTGCTAAGCAAAGAAATACAGGATTAGCAATTATTATACCATAATTACCAGTGTGTTGGTAGTGGTTTTGGTTGGGTTTTTTTTGGTACCCAGAGGTTCTGTTATGTAATTCTGATATTAGAATGCTGTCCTTGAACTTTACCTTGACAGAAATTGAAAGATTTCACATTGTTTTCCAAAATGACACTATCACCACCTCCACCACCCCCCTGCCAAAAAAAAATTCATTCTGCAACTAGCAAATCTCATAGGTCTGATTCTTAGGCTGTGTAAGCTAAAGGGACAAGCATGCAATATTAATTGAAAAAAATTCAGTTTTGAGAAGCAAGATGACTTTTCTGTTTTTCTGACAGGAAAAGGCATAATTTTATCAGAAATGTTGGCTGATCAGTGCAAGAATAGGGAGATGTATCACTCGTGAAAAGAATCTCATGAAATTAAGTGGAGTGCCTGTGTAGAATTCACAGGATGAAAAACAAGCCAGGATGGTATTGCACGCTAAATTGCAAGGGACTAAGTTTTTTACCAGCTCTTTTATCTGTCTGAAGATGAGATCATCAGTAGGGCAAATAAACAAACAGAATTGCTGTATGAATGAATCACATCTCATGGGAAGTACCTGGTAAATGTCAAGAACTGGTCTCATGGCCTCTGATCCAAGAGTTCCTGAGCTGCTGCAGTAGGTTTGTGGCCACAAGCAGCGCAACATATTTTTCCTGTAATAGTGAAGTACGTTTTTCATAAATTACTAGCCAGGCAGATGGAGTGTGAGATCACTGTTAATACCATCTTGATTAGGTTGGCAGGGACTTAAAGATATGTCTTTACAGTCCTATCTTCATGTAATCTTTGTAGCTATCTGTAAAGTGAGAGTGTGGTCTCAGTCTACTTTTTGCTCTCCAAATGATAGACATCTTTGGCTCTTGCTTGCAATTTGTTATTTAAGTAGAAAAGGCCAAGGCTGTGGTATTATTTTCGTAGTACTGTTGGAGTTAAACATGGGAATGTTTGCACAGTTCTACTTTGTATGATACTTGTTGTGTGGTTTAAAACTTTCATAAGCAGCTCTGTCAAGCTGGTTACTTCCATCATAGAGATATTTTCCAACCAGTGTCCCCTGCCTTGAACTCCTGTGTCATCTCTTCCCAGGCATAGGATCATTTTCCCTAGTGTGGCTCCCTGATTCCTTCCAAGATAACTTTAAAGTTCTGCACCTGAGCATTCCTCTTTCCTTGGTCTTTTGTCATCTGTGGACTCCATTGGGAATGATGAGAAGGCTTGAGAGAATTAAATTATTTTATAGTGCTAAAAGTGCTTCCAGTGATAAAACTGTCTTTGCTGACAGAGCCTTTCTCATTGAGGAATGTTTTGACACAGAATGTAGTGTTTAGAGGCCATCCCTTTTCGATGGGGTGATCTAGGAGGAAATGTGGGAGGAAGGCATTTGGAAGTGTGTGTGTAAACAGGTAGACTCTTTACTTAGAGAGGGAGAAACTGAGGCAGCACACATGTGCTTCAGTCCATTGCCAGCCTCCCAAAATGCAGGGGAACCATGTGGGCCTGAAATGGAGATGAGGGATCTCTTTTCCTTGGAGCACTGAAGATGAAACACAGTTGAGTGAAGGGTACGACAGAGTGGGGCTGAGTGGAGCTGAGCTGAGGTGAGTGGGAAGGACACAGGCTGGCCTTTGGTGTCCTGAATGGACTTTACCCTCCTGTGGCCATTGCTCTCCCAACTTTGGGTGCATAGGGAAGGCAGCCATGGGCACCCTGCACTACATCTTGGAGCTGCTGCAATGTTGCAGGGTGAACAAATCAGCCAGCTTTGGTGACACTGAGTCGTGTGTAGGAATCACTGGTTCCTCTCCTGTGGAGCCAGCTTATTTTATACCTAACAGAACCACCTTCTTTTAAATGGGAGTTGTGAGAGCTGTGTATTTGAAGCAGGCTGTTAGTCCCTTAATGCTCATCCCTGACACTGAGACTCACAAAAAGCTCTGCTGTGGTATCTTACCATGCACTTGAAGAGAAATGAAGGCGGTGTAATTACATGGGTGGGAAGTTCATTGTGAAAACTTGGAACAGGGTGGTACTGGTTTTCAGGGGTAAATTCAGAGGTGTGAGCTCTGGAATTGTCTGGTTCAAAATCAGTTCAGCTCTTTGCAGGTAGAGGAGCAGTTGCAAGTAAGCAAACTGCTGTAGCTTGTACAGATACTCTTGACTGACTGAGTCATGGTAACTGAGTGGGTGTGCATTCCTAGCCCACTTTAACTGCAAAATAAAATATGTTAATTTAAATTGCTTTTGCTTAGGTATTTATGCAGTCAGAACCAGTTTAAAAATAATTTTGGAATCAGTTGGTATGACTTCTCTGTACAGGCAAAGGCCTGATAAAAAAGTCCTGTCTTTTAAAACTCCATTATGCTTCTTTGAGAACAAAACTAATACTCTGGGTAATGGGATGTATTTCCTGAATTCTCTCCTACCCCCTCAAAAAAACCCAGCATGGCCTCAAAATGCTGTTTTCAACTGGCCCACTGTTGTGTAAGTGGAATAAACGCTGCTTTATGTAAACCACTTTGGCCTTTGATTGTTGTCATTATTTGGGAAGGCAGAGTAGGGAAGAATTCTACTTCAGTTCTAGTTAAGGAAGATTTGTGACTGATTTAAAAAAACACCCAACTTCTCACATGCGCAGTGAGCGCGTAGGTAATCACACAGCACATTTGGGATGAAGCATCTCTAAGAATTGGCCCTTTGCCTTCATTTTGATCTTTACATGGGGAATAATTGGGAAGAGCTGTATCCCTTCACAGTATCCTTTGAGCTTTGGCCAAAAATGATGTCACCTGGAACTTTTTTCCTATCTGGAAAGATAATGCTTTCTAAGCACTCTGGTACAGCTACCCTTTTTCTTGTCTTTAAAAAGAAAAAGCAGTTTATTATAATATTATCATTATGAAAAGATAACCTTTTATAAACTTTATTTTGTTTTTATTTTCTCTGTGGGAGTGATTATCAAGAACCTTGGCTACTCTGAATGGAGAATCTGTGCTACTTTTTCCTAGTCTTAACTTTTCAGTGGGCCAGAGACAAGATTTTATTATTTTTAGGATTTAAAAATCTTAAAAACAGGAAAATTTCAAGGTTTCAGTGGAATGATGTTAGGGCTTAAAGAATTCTGAAGACATTCTTTAAAGAAATGGGTAGGAAAATATGTATGTCTGTTTCAAGTGAGATTAATTTATATATCAAAATACTTCTGCATTAGACATGACCTTGTGTGCAACTCCAACTTTTTGAAATTTAAGTCCATTTAAAAAAATGTGTTACAATACTAGATTCCATGAACCCCGAGATAAGACATAACTGTATTTATAATTACAATGTGAATTGGATTCCAAAGTAATAGTGCGAGAATTGAATAAGTAATGTCCATTCAATATTGAAAATACTTGTGGAGAAAAAAAGTCTGTGTGCCTGTCTGCATTTGCAAATACACCTATGGAAATTCAAACTCAAATCTATTGTGTATAGGAAATACTTCCATCTGTGTTGGATGGAGAAATGTTTGGGAGGCTTTAAAATTGTGTTCTAAATGGTTTC